TTCTAAGCTCTGATAATCGACATACGAACGCTAAAATATTTGTTCTGTATTTTCGTCAGTGTTCAAAGGCCATTTCTGCAAAAGTGAAATTCGGTTCCTTATCTCAAACAAGCCAGCATGGGGCATGTGGCATGGCGGTGTTCGTGGACATAATTTTGTTCGCAAAAACGCCAGAGAAATTTTGTTCTTGAAAAGTTAACAAGTTATGCGAAGACTTTACGTCACTCTTACACTAATTGATATATTTTAACTATATTTTGAGGCTAGCAAACACTATTCTATGTCCTTGCAAGTGTACAATTTAATTATACAATTCTGCGCATGTTTTGTGCTAATATACATGCCGACTGCGTTACGTTTGTCAGATGCAGCAACACTTTTGCTCCATCTACATGCTTCTAACTGTTAATGAAAAAGATGTTTCCTGAAAATTTATTAGTGAGTTTATGACACATTCCTTACATACTTACTCTTACGTAGCTCCAAGGGTTCATTACTTTTAATAATCATAAAAGTGGGAGCTAAATATAGATTTTGCTTGGCCGCCATGTTGTTATCAAACACCTTACAACAAATTACCGTAGTTTATTGAATACTTATCAGGGACTGATTAGACACACGGGCCATGATACCGTCTGCCTACCTTTCCATTGGTTGTTTCTCTTCAGGGTGATGCGTATGTTTTCAGATGATCTATTAATCTGGGGCTCCAATTCAGATGTTCATAAATCGATGTGTACAGTTGTATTTGTTTGTGCTGTAGACACAGTTACCTAGGCCAAGGGTATACTTGATTTTAGCAGTGTGTTACCTAAAATAAATACAAAACAACAAACAGGTGTTAAGTGTGATGGCGCTAGAGTGAGGCAGATTTAAATCTGTTCCGACCTGAAGCAGGGGATTATTGTGGCCATAACAGATAACCAGTATCAAGAGTAGACATTCTTCGTGTAGGCATTTCCGTCCAGGAAGAAACTCTTGTTGGGTTAATTCTGGGGATCTTGTTGCCAGGTATTCTAGGAACCTGGTCTCCAAAATGTCTGGAGCATCGAGTCCAGATGTGCATGGGCGCCGTAGGCGACCACTTCCAGCATTTTATGTAAGACAGAATCCATTTTCACGTCTTTTCACAAGGACCGAAGTATGAAAAATGTTCGGACAACATTTCTTCACCATCGATGCATAAATAGTGGTTTTATTGCCTATAGTGTGAGCATCACTATATATTTTCTTACTTTAGAAATTTCAGTTAGCTTAAGGATGTGACGACATCACATTGGACTCAAGGACACCAAAACATGAAAAAGAAATGCGCTCAGAACTTAAGTTTTGGGACCTGTTGGTAAACGGCAATTTAAAAGATCAAGAAGGTGGCGGATAAAATAAATATGGATCTCAGGAAAATAGAATATAAATAGACAGGACTGACCGGAGAATGAGTGGAACAAGTTTAGGTTCGTACCCAGTGGCGACCAGGTCGCAGTGATTTTTTTCATTCTGTTCTTTTTATTCTTTCTTTCTGTTTCTTCCCTTTTCACCCTTTCCGTCTCCATGTCGTTTTCTTGTGTACGTAGTCTCCTATACTCTACTTTTAAATATTTTGCTTTTATTATTTATTTTCTCTCCCAGATTTATTGAGACCTGTGTCATATTTGATTTCCTATAATGACATGTCATCCGCTCACAGTATAGAAGCAACAAGCCGATCTCACCACTTCTTTTCTGTGCTGTGTGAAATTTTGTTTACGTAATTTCCGTCATGGAACTGTAAATCGAAACCTGCTTTCTTGCAGCGTAATCAGAAACAGCAGGACAATAGCAGACCGATATATGTCAGCAATATGAGGAATGTATTGACACTTATTAGCTAAGGAATAAAATACATTTATTTTCGAACATGTCAGTGTCCCTGCTACAACACATTGTGGGCTGTGGACTTGACGTCGGAAACAACAGTAATTTCATTCAGTTGTAACTGATACTTCTTATGACAGAACAACATAAACCTAAGAATGTTTTAAAACAAAGTAGTCTGGGAAGTATCGGATTCTGGGTGGAAGTTCCTGGCATGTGAAACGAAATTGAATGTTGTATGACCGTTTTGCAATATATGAATTTATCGTGTGTGTAACGAATGATTAAGTACACGACCTTCAAATCGTCAGCTAATTTATGGTCACCTGTATGTGGGCGTAAGAGTATTTTGTTAGTTGATAATTGGCATGGCACATGACGAGGGACTTCGGTGATTTATGCGGGTGGCCTGATACTAGTAAGGTAGTGAAATGAAGGAGGGTTCGATTGGCTGGACACGCAGCTAGGATGGTAAGAAGAAAAACTCGACGAGGCCATATCACAGTTAAGCCCCAACCGAAAGCGGGAATTTGATATTTTCTCAGACCCTCGGAGCTCTTTATTTCAACCCTTGCAATGTTACCGACAAGTTAAATTAATTTTAGATTTTGTTGTGTGTACTTACTGTATAATGTAATGTGCGATATAGTCTATGGAGCCTCTTCTGCCATCTAATGATGTATTAGGCTAAGCTTTCGAAACTTTCCAGAAATCGAGTTTGCAAATTTATTTGGAAATACACTAACAAAACAAGGCTCAACGCAGAGGCTTTGGCGTATGCCCTTACTGTCTGTCAAACAAGCACTTCTCGCAGTCGTGCTAACAATATCTGGTCTGCACTTTGGCTAGATATGAGACACCTCTGGCCTTTAAACTGTAAATGACCCATGAGTGAGAACAGCAGTTACCGACTTACAACATGCAAAGCAACAACTAAATGACTTCTTTCGTAATAAAATTTCTTGGTTATCTTTTCAAGGAGTAAAAGCTGTGTGTTTTTTAATTTTCGTTTTTCATTATAACAAGCCTCGCAATTTGTACTTCTCACCTAATATTATATTGGTGATCTAATCGTGTGTGATACGATGAGTTTTATAGAATGGTTTCCCAACCACATTTTTAAACGAATTTATTTATAGTTTCCCCATACGTACCAGTATGAAACAACCGATCCAGGATGCACAAAGGTGATTCTCCCTTTTAGAGGAGATGCGTTCTTAAAAAGGTGTGACGTGTAAATGCGTCTTCTAAAGCTTTCATCCATTGGTGCGGAAAGAACTCTTTTTTTTCCTAATATTTGACGAAGAGCGCTAATCATGAAGTTCTTTGTCATGTAATTTTCTCCAAACTCCTGTCTCTTCATGCCCCGCAGGGCCCAAATATCTGTATCAGCACCCTGTTCTCAGACGTACCAGGTTCTCATGGCGGCAAAGATGCCGATTTTGGTGTTTTGAGTTACAAATTCACACGGCAATGAAACCCAGAAAACCACTGACATTCTTAATTTGAGTCCTTCAGTTAGCGTGAGAGATTAGTTAAACATTCGTACAAAAATTCAGATAAAATTATAGTTTATGTATTCTTATATAGGCAGCAGACGAAGAACAAAAGGTTCTGAACTGCATGGTAGTCAAGAATTTCTGTTATCTGCAATTGCTACCTGTTATCATCATTCCCAAATATTTAATTTACCAAATTTTTTAAGCTGCCGTTTGAGTTCCGCCCTTCTGTCTTTCATGCTGAAATTGCACTGTTTTAAGCCGGTTTTCCTTTACATGAGGGTTAGGCTAGCAGCTCTGAAGGGTTAACCGTTAGGTTAGCTACCTTGGAACGTTAGCAGTTAAATTAGGTCAGGGAGAGCGAATTTCTTTAAGGACGGGTTTCAAAACCTGGGGGAAATATTTCTGCCATAACATTTCGTAAGCGTTGATAAACGTTTCTTTCACGGTCATCGTAATGGATTCAAAATAAATTATCATTAAGTTCGTGTGAAATTGTCTATTGAATGTTATTATCTGCGTATGTTATCAGGTTCAGGTTTATAACTGGTTCTTTTTTAGGTCACGCAGTCAGCACTGCTTTCATTGGTAAGTCCTTGTTATAAAATCGGATTTTACATGATTCGACGCAGAAAATAAACTTGCACGAACGATAAACCCACTTTTATCTCGTGTTTGCTCTTGTTTCTCTGAAGAAGGGGATGATTGTTTTTAAACTGTGCTTTGTAATGTATTATGAGGAACGTTCAAGAAATTCAGGAGGTATTGGAATTGATAGTACACCAACTTTTGGTCTCTGCTGATGATGGTATAGTTGTCTGCGTTTGTCTTAGTGACGCAGTGTGGACTTGTTGGCAGATACCAGCGTTTCGGAAAAGAATATTATTTCATCCCTAAACATGGAGGCACTATGCTACACCGGAACGTTGTATCTATCTACAAGTCTACATTGTCTGTGAAAGTTAGTCTGGCTTCAAGAGTTAAGAACACAGAGATTGATGATGTTCATGAAAGAAGTGATAAAAGGAATAGACCTACTGGGCCTAACAGAGTGAAGTATCGAAGTACTTGGAAGATGAAGGTGGCTGCTGCCTTTTGGTCTGTAGCACCGCGTACTCTTGTGGGCCTTTCAGAGGTACTTACTGCCTTCATCATCAGGACAACTCACTGCCTTGTTAATGGAGGCATCAAGTATCTCTGAAACGTCGGACTTCACGAATCTACAGTCCAGAAGACAGCCATCTTCATACTCGTTGCCGTGAGAACCTCAAATCCTGCTCACTTTCAACATATCACAAAATGAGTATCTTCGTAGTTTTATCCTTCGCCAAAAACTTGTATTATGACACCAAGAAAGATGTGCTTGAAGCGGCATGTGGGGTGACACGCGCAAGAGAAATTCATAAACTGAATGTGACATTTTGGTCGGATGGCATCGAGACAAGGCCACGTGAATGACCTAATATTAGATGTTTGGGACTGGTTAAAACTAGCTCATGGTTTGGTGCAGTGGTGGCCGGTTTTGTGACCTTCGCTCCGTGTGAAAATGCCCTAAAACGTAACAGGTGGACAGAACGGCTTTAATGATTTGGTGCATGTAGTGAATTAGATTAAGTCCATGTTGAGTGAAGGTTATTAGTTAAAACAATCATCCCTGTTACTGATCGGACGGTGAACTCGGTTTCCAGTTGTAAGACCGGATTTTAGATGGATGGAGACATTGACCGCGTGCCTGTAATGTATGCAAAGTTGATCGCTGGTCGCCACGTCTCGGTTTGCGGATGGAGCGCAGATGCGAATATACTGAATATGTTTTATCGGACATTATCCTAAAATTTGGTCGTTCTTCATAAAAACCAGTGTGTTATGAAATGTTACACGGGGCCTCGTGTCTCGACGTTTCTTTGGAATGGTCTAAGCAACGAAAATTTATTCCGAATTATCTAATTATTAAATCAAGATTGGTTCCATAAAGGCGGGGAACATTTTTACCATTTGAGCTACTATAAGCTTACGAATGACTGTGCTCTGGATTAAGTTAATTGGTCGTGTTCATTTTTTGTATGTGGTTAAGAATAAGAATGAAAACATATTTACCTCCATTCCTCATGTGACTTCATGGACTTTACAAATGTGTTGCTTACAGTTTAGTCAACACTAGAGATCTTGGATTACAGAGTTTTTGGACTTTGTCCATCGTCTGGCATTCTGAAAATCACGCAACGTTTCGAAAACTGGATATGTATTTGTCCTCAGAAAGAGCTAACCTCAGGCACTGGTCCATTGAGGTGAGTTTCATGCGCACAGGCAAATAAAGGATAGGCGTTTAGTGTAAGATCCTCGGGTAGGTGGCTTCAGAATCCTGCAGTATTTTCAAGTACACTTTCTAGTATTTGTTTGACGCTGCTACCATGGCTTAAAGGACATACTAAAAATCCAGATACCTGAAAAGGTAAACCAAGGGCAAGATATATAACACTTTGGGAAAACCTGTACTTAAAGTTGAGGATTTTTGAGAGGAAATTATTTAGGAGAATTTATGGGCCTTCAAGAGAAAAGGAAGGATGGCGAATTAAGTACAGTTGTGAGCTATACGACTTATACAAAGCCCTTGAAATAGCGAAGACTGTCAAGTTGGGGGTGGGGGGAGGCTCAGGTGGCTAGGACACTAACCAGAGCAAACGAAAAATCTCCACGCACGAAACTAACCGTTTCCAAGCCTGATGGCCCAAGGAGGGCTGGGAGACCCACACAGGATTGTACCACCAGCAAACAAGAATATTTGTGTGACATGTCGATAAAGATGCGAGCGTCGTTCTGTCCATAGCCAAGTTATTGTTCATTTCATCCTAACCTGAATTCAAAATAACATTGGGTCAAGATAATAGTGGATTCCGTTGAATTGTTTTGTAATTTCTTAACTGAACGGGATCTAGCGTTTAATTGTAGTCTCAGTGTAAACGATGAAGTGGAAAGAATGTGGATTGAGGAAAACTTGGAGACACCTTAACTAGAATATCCAGTCTGTAGGCCGAGTTTCGAACCCTGGACTCCAGAATACGAAGTTGATATCATCTACGTCTACACTGCAAGTGTATTTTTTATTTGTTGTCGTGGAGGGGTTAGTGCAACTTTCTTACCCTGGGGCTGAGCGGAAGAGGCCAGTGCGCTCATAAATATGAACAGTGGCTGGACCGGTCATGGCAGTCCCACCTGTCTCCCGTAGCCCTGGGATATCGCCCGAACTCTCCCTCCCATAACCCCTTGGAACGTTGACCCTTGGGAACCGCATTCAAGCTAAGTATGCAGTTTCAAACACGCATTTTATAATTATTGATAATGTAAAGGCAATTACCCACGATCGTATGGTAATGTGAGAAGAAGAGAAACAGCGAATAGAAGAAGAAATAAACGAACATAAACAAATACAGTTAAATAGAAAGAATGCAGGAAGGAAACAAGAAAGATAATTTTAATCTCATATTAATGCCTTTAACTTATAGGCCCAAGAAGAGAGATAATAAATACAAGAAGAAAAAGTAATCAGCTTTCCCCATTTCCTGTCCCGGCTGAGATTTCTGTATCCCTTTTTGGAACGCTTATAACCCACCAACTCTCTAGTAATGTAACTCCACTTTTCTAACGCTGCTAGCACAGACGTTTTACCCCGGACAAGATCGTTTCACTTATATCCAACCTGTTCTCTTAAAACTGGCAACTTTAGTTTGTGTTTATTATCTTCTGACTTCCTTCTCGGTCTTCGAAACCGTTGGTTTCCCCATTACGATTCTGCGAACACCTCTTATTTCTTAATTACACCTGTATATCCAACCGATCGTAACCGGATTAGTAGTCTACTAGGTGAACTATATAAATTAGTAGTCACTCTTTTTGTAATAATATTCTCTGTTCCTCGTTTAATTAATCTTCCCTTAGAGGCGTTCTTCTGGGTTGTAGCGCCGTTTAATCTAGAAGTTTACCAACGTTTCGTATGATGATAGAGGCAGCAAGGACCTCTGAATAGTTTGGGACTCACCACCGTGAAAACCACAAATCCTACAAATCTTCCTTAGGTCTAAATATTTTCTCTGCTACTTTCTTTTGTTGTAGACTGTAATTTGTAATTTATATTTTGCTTGGAGTGAGAAATTAGTTTTCTAAACCATACAAGTTGGTGAGGAAGTGATGCAAGTCGAATGTTTTGCGTTGCATGTCTTTGCCATCTGTTAACCTTTATAGGACAATTGTAACTGTGTATGGTTACCGAATTCTGAAGCGTTCAGCTGACAACATTTTTCGAACACAGAGTTTAGGCCTATAAACGGAATTTGTTAGCTGCTCGGAATAATTACCGATTT